CTTCAGAGTTGCGGGTAATGATGATTCAAGATTCAGTTAACTCTGAGTTCCCTTCTCCTATTTCCTTTGTTGGAGCCATAGCTTGTAGGCATTGTTTGATTTTAATTTGTTAGGTTCTCTCCATTGTGATTAATCCTTGGTAGGTTAGAGTTTAAAAGCCACATTTATACCTCTATATATATAGTTATCTACAAAAGTCAGGAACTTGCTACTTAATGTCTGATAAAAGAGCTTGTCTTTAAAGCTCTTACTCTGTTCTTTCTGATTCAAATCCATGGCAAGCAACACATTGTTACGATCTATCTTCCTTATTCATTCTCTGAACCAAACGAAACTGATCTACTTTAATGGGCAAGTTGATCATGGTTCGGAGACCGAACCTAGTGACGATCTTGTCTGATACAAAGATACCATCACCAAAACCAACGAAAAACTCTGGAATCTGAATAAAAATATGGTCAGATGTATGTTGTGTGTATTTATACAAACTGCTGAACATTTTTTGAATTATTTCAAGCAGCAAAGTTTTCATTTTTAATGAACTGATTTCTAAACATAAAAAGTCACATCAAAACGGTTAATCAATCAACATCCACCGAAAAATCTGGCTCTTCCGGTTTAGGAAGCATTGGCACTTCAACATCCTTCAGCTTCTGAGCCGTTCTCCTCGTGTTCTTAGCAAACCTCGAAGCGAATATCGTTGCAGCAAAATGCGGTTTCACATCAGAAGTATGACGACGGGCTCCATCACTCTGTGTCTCTCCATCATTACTCATCCCCTCGGTTGTAGCAACCGACATAGCCTCTTCTTCTTCATAAGAAGAGAATGACTCAGCCAAGCTAAGACTCTTAGCCAACGCTCTTCTCTTATACCGTCTCCAAGCTGCTTGTATGAAACAAGCAGCCCAAGTTCTCCAATGGTGAGAGTAATAACGGAATGTGTGTTGCAGCTTCTTGCTATGCAAACGCCTGAATTGGTTAGCAACAAATTTGAGATCCCCTGCTTGTAAAGCAAATGCTTCAACTTCTTCCAATGCTCGCACCGTTCTTGTGGAGGATGGTAAGTTTACTGTTGATTTTGGAAGTAATGCCCAAGCAAGAAGCTCTTCTCCACAGAAATCTCCTGGTCTAAGTGTGATTGAGTTGTAGAAACCGGTTCTTCCTCCGTTAGTCGTGGAGCTATCGAGTTTTCCACGGATGATGAAGAGCATTTCGGTCACTGGATCACCTTCACGTACAATGTAGTTCCCTTGTGTGCTTAGAGATGACACTAAACGTTCGCATATCGCGTCTAGTAATTGATCGTCCATTTGCGCAAATAGCGGTACCTGAAAAATCAGGGTGCACATAAAAACCGAATCGAATAGAAGTTCTTTAAAATGAAACATATGTCAACTTTCTCTTAAACAGTTAAAACCAAATGGTAACAATGTTCTTAAGTTGAGTGGTGAATACACTTACACGACGAACAAGGTCGAGACAGAGATGTCTTTGGATATCTCTACGGAGATCTGCAGGTAATGAATGAAGAATGGTTTCTTCGTCAACTCCTCGAGTCGCCAGCCATTTATACTGAACGAAACGCCTCACTCTTTCTCTTAGATTCTGCGGTAGCTGACGATGTCTCATCCATTCTTCTGTGTCTCTTCTCTTCAGCCTCCACTCCTCAAGCCTCACCGTTATCGATTGCAAATACGTCTAAAATGCATTCACAAGAAAAGAATTGATTGAATTCAATCTTTCTCATCGATTACAAACAAGAAAGAAGATTCAACGTTTTTACCTGCATGTTTCCGATTAATAGAGCAAACAAAACCAGACCAAAGATAGCCACCAGGATAGCAAACATTGTCTCAAGAACAGAGGTGCTTGTGCTCAGATTCTGTCCGTAAGAACTTTGACAAGAAAGCTGTGTTAGAGAATATGCTATATACCCCGGTAAAAGCCATTGAAGAAGGAATGAATTACCTTAGATTTTGTAGTCCAAACCACAAGCAATACAAGTATTTCTCCAAGAACGGCGAAGAGACGACGTTTTTGGTGAGAGCATCCGCGAAAATACCGAATGTGAATTGGATTTTATTCGAAGGATCACAATTGCTGAAGACAACAGTTACATTCTGCCAGTTATTCCGATCCTCTCGGTGCAACGTACCACAGTCAAAGAAATCCGTAACACATTTTAGAGGCTCTAACTCTTTATGACATTCTGATTTCCAACATGTCGCTTGGCGTTCTATCGACAATAGATACCATGCCGCACCTAGAATCTACACAACAAGAATGTGAAAACATAATAAGAACATAACGTAGAACTTAATGAGTTGTTTAAAGAGAGTTAGTGAGTCTCTCACTAATCAACTCATAGAACTTAATGAGTTGTCTGGTGAATTGAACAAGAATTAGTAGTTAAAACAAACTCACATGGCTAGCTAGCATATACTGAAGCAGATTGTAAGCAGCACCGGCCCAAGCGGTGGTTGTAACAACTCCGGTTGCTTTGATAATCTCTGCGCTTAGAGGGAAAATCAGATAAAGCCGAGGAATGTACTGAACAAGAACAATGAGGACAAGAGCATTTGTGGTATGATCTGAGTGAGAGCTTCTGATTGATGGCAAGATAAACCAACTAACAATCTGCAATCAAAGAAGACACACACACACAAATTAGACGCTTATCGAAACCCCGGTCTAAGAGTTGGATCAAGATTTGTTGAGGTAAACCTGAGGAAGAGGCAAACAAGCGATGAGATCAACGATGAAATCTGATCTCAAGTATCTTCTAGCAATCAACTTAGGATCTTTGACGAGTTCTCCACGGCCAAAGACTCTTGAAGTACGAGAGACATAAGCAGTTCTGAATTTGATGACAATGTGTAAGACATAGAAGAGATCGGCGAGTGTCCTGAAGAAAGTAACGACGATACCGAGCTTCAAATCTGTGGTCATACAAGATGATGGTCCAGTTTGGTTGACTGAAGAAAGGAAGAAGAACAAAGGGTCGACGTAGAGTGCAACGAGACACCAGAAGAGGAAAACTCTGTTCCATTGAAGCACTGCATCACCACCAGGATCTAGAATCTTGTCTCTTTCGATCTCGAAATTCAAATTCTCGGGGAACACTTTGAATCTACCAAATCTTGGGAGTTTAAAACGGCTTTTGTTACTCTTCTTGTTGTTGCTACTTTGGATTCCTAATTCTGGTTTTAGAAATGGAGCTGTTGTTGATTTAAACAATGGGAAACGCTTCTCTGTTACTTCTTGGGTTTGTTTCTCGTCACCATAGAATCTGTATCAACACATAGAATCTTTATTAACAATGAGATCAAGAAACAAAACAGCTTCAATCTGTTTTGTCTGACAAAAACCAAGAATCAGAGACAATGCCATT